TCAGTAAAACTGAGTGATTCACACTTTGGTATAAAGGTAGAAGTATTGGAGTACAACTTTGTGGATATTCGATGGCCTTTATGTGTCAAGATGTATGTAATGCCATGAAGAAAATATACTTTATCTTTCTTCTTGTCGTGTTCCTGCGAATCATGAGTCCAGTGATTTAGGAAATTGTTTAAATCTGTCTGTGGTTCAATCAAACCTGCAATATGGTTATCAGGCAGAATTTATGCTGGACACAGCTTCTTAGGTCGAAAAGTGATGTTTCATTCAGTATGCAATTTGCATTTCTGAGTAAAACTGCATTTACATGTTCAATAATCAGTTGCCTTTAGAAAATGTCATACTATGTCCACAGAATTAGTATACATTCTAAACATATCCTACATTATGATGTTTAACCCACATTCTCATTCTTTAGTCTCTTACAGCATTCATTGTCCACTACACTATCTGCATGCTGACACTAAGGACAAAGAAGATTAAAGTGATCCAGCTTAACATAAAAACAAAGCTTTGATATCCTTCTCCATGAATAGCATTTTTTTTTAAAAAAAGGAATGATGCACATGTATTATCATTTTAAATGATCATTTATGTATTTTACTTTGATGTTATTGATCTTAATTTACAATGACTGGGGTCACGTGTAAATGTTTTGGGTAAAAAGTAGAAATGTATCATACATCAGTTCGTCTCGTGTTGAGTGAAATTCCAAATTCCACATCTCTCTCTCTCTCTCTCTCTCTCGTTAAGATCGGCTTAATTCTTCTTGAGTCGTTCATTTGATTGATTAGACGGTGCTTGGAATCAAACTCGTCTGTAATTTTGTACACAGCATTTCCTAGGAACAGAATATCTTTTATATTGACCAAAAAATACGTGGCATTTGTCATGATTTCTTTTTTGATTAAGAGGTATTTAATTCAATCGTTTTTTTTTTTTCTCCTTTTCAGAGGAAAATTCCTTGTTTCATCAAAAAAACATTTTGTTGTCAAAGCATTCCATCTGCACCAAATGTGTAGATATTACACAAATTATAATTTTGGAATCATCTAACCGGTATATCAAGCTGAAATTTACATGAACTAATTCAATAAATAAATGTCAATTTATTTGCATTTACGTAAATGATTGTACTTGTAATTTTACAGTAAAGGTTGTCTTATTTATGTTTGTTTGTTCTTATTGGCTTTTTGGCAGATGGTTTTGTAACAACCTAATTATTATTTCCACCCTAATGATAAAAATTCTAAAATTCATGATAAACTTGATTATTTTTTTTCCATCGTCAACTTCCCTTTTTTATGTAAGAAATATCCTTAATTATCACCTTAATATTGACTCCAGTCGATTTGATAATTAAGAACATACTCTATGTATTTTCAAATACAGTTTCAAAAAAGAGTTTAACTATTGACAAATACTGGTAAGTCGATACAACAATCTTCTTACACGTAGCAAATACAATATCAATCAATACGTCTTGTGTTTGCCAATACCAACATTGATTTTATTCCAATTTTCTTTTTTTAAATTACAATTATTTCACACGATTATTATGACCGATCACGAGTATATTTACCTCAATTCCTTTTCAGTGTTTACTCTGCTGCCATTTTGTATTGGTCTTATGAACTTTTGAGTCAGATTACTTATTTTTGTTTTGTTTATTTGTTTAACGTCCTTTTTGAAAATTTCTCACTCAATTTGAGCTGCAACCACTTGCGGGTTGAGGGGGAGAATTTCCAGAGGTATATACTGGACACTCAGGGCTGTTGGGCACTAAAGGAACTTTGTCATTCCATCAGTAACTGCGAAGCGGGATATCGATTTATACATTTTCATTTGAGTGAATTCGAATTTGGTACATGTAATACAACTTTTCCTTAGTTTCCACTTCGCCAAGCGGGCGACTGTTTTGTTTTTCATATTAATATTTCATCTTAGTAAACTCTTTAAAGTTTATCATGCATCATCTGTTAAATTTGTATAAAACAAACAGCCCTTATTCTACATGTTATCATCAGATAAATATGATTTCCTCTGCTAAAAATCTTATTTTTAATGGTCTATAAGAAGGATGATTATGATTGATTTTTTAGATAAATGGTCATGTAAAATATTAAAGCAGCATTAATTGGCACTTTTTGTCATTTTTCCGAAATATTCGACAACAACAGGACCTTATCTTATTCATCTTTTTTCCCTTAAAATAATTAACGCTTTTATTGAGAGAAAAGGAAGCTTCATATCTTTAAACCATTCCCTCTAACTATACATAGATTGAGTCAAGAATTTAAAAAAACATAAAAGCATAAACAGAAAAAAGGCAGGGTGTCTTATACAATTAAGACAGAAATTTTTCAATACAGCTGAAACAGTTAACCAAATAATAACAAAGGAACTGACATGATATTCTTTTATGACTATGGAGTGTTTCTGTTTTAAGTTTTATAAAATAGATATACGTGTCATTGTATATTTGAATAAATAATGTCAAGTAAATGGCATATTGCAAAATGATACAACTGGATTTCCGATGCACATCTTCAAACTTTAATCGATAAAATTCATGGTTGACTGAATTGTTCCTCTCTTATAAATTTTATGAATATTTTTATTGAGTCCAGATTTCCCTGTTCATCTATATAAGAGCTTCAAAATGTTCATTCTTGCTGAACATCTTTCAATCAAATTACTAGAGTAGATTCAAATAAAATTTTAATTAAATGACGTATTTTGGAAATAGACAATCTAATTTCAAACAAGCAGTTGTTATATTTTTACAAAAATTTAATAAGGCAGTTGGTCTTTATCAAATGAGACAGAACAATTTGCATTTTGGTGCACCTAGAGTATATACACTGTAGAAGTGTACTTAGTATATACCCCAGTAGTTCTTAATGTGTGTTCTACCGAGTTGTGACAGTATGTAACAAGGTTTTGTGTTTGATTAGAGAATTGAAAGCTGTAGAATTCAGATTGATTTCTTTTGGAAGATTCCATTGAATAAAAGTAAAACAAAGTAAAATTGTCATTTTAATGTTAATTAGAAAAAAAGATGCTAATTAATGAAGAGGCTTCTTGTAGATCTGTTTTCACAACAGCAAACCCGTTAATACTTTCAGGAATTAACATATAAGATCGTATTAAATTAGCAATGCAGGACACATCTGATAAATGGTCACTAACGTTTTGTGCTTTATAATTAAATTACACTTGGCTATCTAAGGTATCTAAATGCTACACTGACCTTGAAACAACTATAGCAATCTTGACACATTTCTGATCCTGTTGTATTAAACAATAAGATATGTTCAAATCAAATCATGACACATGTATCAATCTGGGTCAGAATAAAATTCCAAAGCGCAAAAAATTTAATTAACTTTGCTTCAAGGCAATATCTTGCTTAAAAGAGGAAGATGGAACTTATACTGTTTATTTTTCAAAAAAAGCAAAGAATGAAGTGAAAAATATTCATAAAAAAATAATTTTCCCCAACAAAAAATTACATTTACATATTGTTTTTTTTTTCCAAGTCAAAAAATGAAAAAAAAACAGAAATTATATATGCCAGTTGAACCTATTGTATACTCAGTAAAAGAATATCAGTCACTCAGTTTTTGGGTGCCAGAATTTAATTTATTGCTGAGAAAACACCATTCTTTATTTGCGTTGAAACCTAATGCAGTTAACACTTAAAGATTAAACTTTATGATTATTTTCATATTTGCCGTATTTATAATCGTCACTATCACCCAAACTGTTCTTTCGCAATGTTTATAGTAAGGGAGATAAAGATAACGAAGATGTTCAACCTTATATGGAACGTCATAGCGCCAGATATCATATGAAAAGCATCGCTCATGTGATTTGTGTCACGTCTAAACAGAGTGCCCAACACACAAAAAAAAATATAACTGGAACAATTTTAAAACATTTTTTTTATTTTAAAGGCTGAAGTAGAAACATCAGATAATGAGGTAATTTTTGGTTTTGCACGTGTTTGTATGTCGGTCTATTTGTAAATAAAAAAATGATAATAAAAATCAGAAATACAACACGTTTATAGAAATGTACATGTAATGGTTTCTTTTTAGTCTATGTAAGGTACAAGAAAAATAAAACTCTGTAGAATTACCTGAAAGAAAATTAAATTTAATGTAACATTCTAAGCATAAAAAAGAAAATATGCGATATATGTATAAAAAATAATTTAAAATGATTTAGATTGATTATTTTACACATTGGAAGGAAGAGACCTTCACATCATTGAAAACGAAACGAGAATTTTTTTACATCCTCTTATCCGGTCAGCGTTAATGGTATCTTTCGATTTGATATACAAGTCGTTTGAAGCTGATATTCAAAGGATGCTGGTAAGTCGATAAACAATTTATGTAGTCACGGAGCAAATAAATCCTCGAATAAATCGACACTCAATATATGTACCTGTTTTTATATTGGAAAAGAATTTATTCAAAACCCTTACATAACAAAAATTGGCCTTCAACTCGACATTCACTTATATTTATAAAGTTATTTTGAGTTTAAATAAAAGACACAATTTTTTTTTCATAATTGCATGTTTTACTGACAATAGACAACAAAGGCCAACTAACAAATATTATAAGATAACTTCAGTTTTCCATTTAGCTTTCCTCATATAATATTATCTCCACCATTTATTCGCAATATGCATGCCAGTGACAAATGATAATTAATGTCTTCATAATACACAAATATATGTAAATAACTATCATAATTTGACAAAGGAATATAAAAAGATCATATTTTAAAAATAATGCTCATTAACACGTAGTTTTCAGTTGTGCCATAGCTCCATGTTCCTAAGCTGAAAAAGCTAGTTTTCAATTCGATGGAATTTGAAATCACAGCGCAAAAAAATTAAGAACGTTAAATGTAAATAACTTGTTAATGACATAATATTGATGCATTTTATTTGATACATGTATGTGCTTGCTTTTTAGATAAAATAAATATTTTTATATGATACTTAGCCATTTCATTGTATAACACAATAGCGAATAAATTGTTATTACAATAGTTACAAAATATTCACTGGTAGGACGAGCCGATGCACCTGAAACATAAAATAACAGTTATATATACATAATGATCGATGACGACGATCATACTTGAGATGAAGCTATTAAATTTATATACCGAAAATACAATAATTCTAACTAATTATGTAACGTCTGTTTTCTTTGCTTTTAATCTTTTCATCACACTTTCATATGAACAGACTCTAAGCACAAAGCAATTTGTTGACAAACAAGTTAACTTGGAATAATTTAATTAAATAGAACATCATTTTGATAATGGTCAAATTCTTGTTTTTTTTTGGGATTGAGGCTGAGTACTTGACATTTCATCATTTTGATGATGGTTAATTTCTTATTTTCTTTGGATTGAGGCTGAGTACATGACATCTCATCATAATTTTGATGATGGTTAATTTCTTATTTTCATTGGATTGAGACTGAGAACTTGACATTTCATCATTTTGATGATGGTTAATTTCTTGTTTTCTTGGGATTGAGGCTGAGTACCTGACATTTCATCATTTTTTTTTTTTTTTTTTTTTTTTTAATTTTATTTCAATAATAATTAACAAAAAAAAACTGGTGGTAATTACCTGAAAGAAAATTAAATTTAATGTAACATTCTAAGATGGAAATAATTAATTAAATTTAATTTTTGATATACATATATATGTCCACACTTCAAAAAATATATTTAAAAAATACAGATTTAGTATATATAAATAATACAATTTACACATACTTGTACTGAAGAGACATTCTAGATCTATTGAAAAAAAAATACAGTTATTTGTATATATAAAAAATACAATATTCCACATACTTGTACTTTTACATTTTCATGTACATATAGCATTAAGGAAAAAAAAAGACATAAGAAATAGTCGTAGGGGGACAGTTAACACACATTTCACAGGACCAAACGAATTTTCACCAAAGGCCAGGTCACCTTTTCAATATATAATATATAATTTCATAATTTTTTTCATTCTCATATGATATCAAAATTAATACAATAGTTTTTGATAATTTTGTTATGAAATAAACTGAGTAAGTGCATTTTTTCCAATAAACCCTCAAAATTCAATCCTTTTAAAAGTCTACATTTCATTTTATATTTATATATTTTGAAGGCAATGAAGGACAATGTATTGTTTAAAATGAAGGTATTTTTATTACAATACGTTGGAAAACCAATGACTATAACTTTCCATGACACATCTATGTTTAAAAGCAATGTTATTTTACTCCAAATTGGTTTTACCTATACAGCAAAAAAAATTCACTTAATGTCCTTTCTACATTACAATTGTTTTCCATTATAGGATTTTTTGATTACTTCTTTATAGAATATTGTAAGAAGAATGTAGATTTTTGCAACATTTTAAAATGTCCAAAGTTGAAGCGAAAAGCTGTGGATTACATTTATTTTTTTACATTGTAGGTTTATTTCTGGAATATGTTTTTTAAATGCAAAAATATATTCACAAAGGTAGTTTTGGGAACATATTAATTTTTTATTTAATTTCATTTATTGTTTTAAACCCTTGGTCATTAAATAGATCATAACATATTTAAAACCACTTTTAATCCAGTTTGAAAGATAAAGTGTTTTTCTTTATAAGTTATCTTTTTGTTAAACCATATATTCTGTAACTGGAATTTTTCCTGATTATTTTGTTTACATTCATTGAATGCACATATTACTTCTTTATAAAACAGTGGGAGACATTTAATTTTAAAGTCTTGTATTTTAGTTATATTTGTATTCAACAAATAAGGGATATCTATATTACATCTTCTTAAACAAGCACTTAACAGTTTGTTTGAAAGTTGTTTAATTGAACAAGTTTGGTAACCCATGATGCCTTTAAGGCTTTAATTTTGGTTTCAAAGTCCTAATACCTATCCCCCCTTCTGATATTTTCCTGATAAGAGTTTTACGCTTGATTCTTTTTTTATTTCCCATATAAACAGAAAATTATTTTATTTACCTTCTTTATAATTTCCTGATCTGGGTTTTCAAGTATAGTTGCCACATATAAAAGTTTAGAAATAATTATTAAATTATCTTTCCGAAAATAGTTAATTTCCTTTTTCTCCAAGAGTCCAGAATTTTTTCAAACTCTTTCAGTTTACATAGCCAGTTTTTTTCATTACACTCTATTTTGTTGTGTCCAATATAAATTCCAAGACATTTTACAGTATTTATATTGATCTTAACATTTCCTACATATAATATTATCTTTAAACATGTTTTTTAGCTTCCCCAGTAAGATACATTCTGTTTTTGATAATTAAGTTTGACTTCCTAATACATTTCCAAATTTTTCAATTATTTTTATGGCATTTTTCAAAGAGTTTATATCCTTTAAAAAGGTACTGTCATCTGCATGCTGTATGCATTTTATTTCATTTTCCATGTTTTCATGTTTAAAACCTCTAAGTAAATCTGAACTGTTTATGTTTTCATTTAGAACTTCCATTGCAAATAAAAATAATAATGCTGAAATGTAAATAACTTGTTATATTGCACTTAAATTGATCCATTGTTTTTTATAGTGAATTGCGGATTTGTATATAAAATTTTTATCCATTTAATAAAATTTTTATAAATTGAATTTTTCTAATGTTTTGAATAAAAAATTCCATTCGATTGAATCAAATGTTTTTGAAAATCGGCAAATAAAAGTACACCATCCGTATCCGTGTTTTCACAATAGTCAAATATATCAAGAATCAGTCTCGCATTGTTATCAATATATCGTCCTTTTATATAACCTGATTGATTTCTACTTATTAATCCGTCTATCACTTTTTGTAGTCTTTTCGCAAAAACAAATGCAATTCTTGTAATCACAATTAGTGAGGCTGTTTGGTCGGTAATTTTCTAACTTATCTAATTCACCTTTTTTGTGTATAAGGGAGAGCACTGAACACTTCTGTGTTGAGGTAAGCTCTTCGTCGATATATATTTTAGATATGGCTTCGAACAAAAAATAACGAATGTTTTTCCAAAATATTTTATAAAACTGACAGGCATGCCATCAAGACCTTGATTTATTATTTTTCATTCCAAGCACTGCCTCTGAAAATTCTTGCAGAGTGGGAAATTTTTACAATCTTTTTTATCTTCCTTGACATAATAGATATTATATTTGTTTGTTCTAGATATGATTGGATACTTTCACTTGGTACATCGTTTTGAAGAGTATAAATTTTCATAAAAAGTACACAACTGATTTAAAATTTCATTTGTGTTTACAAAAGTAGTACCAGCATTTGTAATTTTATTAATAACGTTTTTAATTGTTTATTTTCAAGTCTTGAGAAGTAAGATGAATTTTTTTCATTTCTATCCATTTTGATGATTTGTGCTCCTTTTGCCTTGTTTTCATATAGTTTATCGAGTTCATTTTACATTTCATCATTTTGATAATGGTTAATTTCTTGTTTTCAAAATGGATTGAGGCTGTTTTCTCTATATTTCATCATTTTGATAATGGTTAGTTTCATTTTCTCTTTGGATTGAGAAACTAATTAAAAGGGGTCAATGTAAATTAAAATCCAATCTGTATCTGCTTTAATGCAAGTCCTTCTTCTTTTTTCAATTTGCTTAAAATGTGTAATAGCCATCCAATTACTACGATTCTATTTTTTTTACATACGAGAATCATTTTCTGTCTCCAATTTATTTTATTATCATATTCTTCATCACATTTAACTTGGCTATGTTAAAAGCAAAATTAAAATAATTTGGGTTTTTTAAGATGGGTTCAGAGCATTAAAACATACGATGAATAAACTTAGCACAAGAATATATTTACTTTCTTTAAAGAAATACAAAGTTTGATCTTTATTTGCTTAACGTAATTGCCATTAAAATGTTTGTTATAAAAGTATCAGTATCCAGTAATTAAAAAAAACGTCTCAAAGAATTCATTCCAAACATTTTGATTTGTTAAGTGGGTGTTTACTCGTGATAAGGTCTAATAATTGCTAGAAAAATGAAATGCTATTGATATTTTTAAATAAAGTACATTTGCGTCATTTAAGAATGAGAAATGATATGTTTTGATAATAAAGACTGACCAATTAATGGTGGAAATAGGAATTCTTTCCGAACACTCGGGTTATCTGGTAGGTCTGCGATACAAACATAAGGTACGTCCTCGGAGGAAACCTGACCGACTAAAGTGCTGGAAGAGTCCCCATAACCTGCAGAAAGACAATCTACCGAATTACTACACTCCATTTAGATAACTGAATAAAATGTCTCTTTCATAAAAAAAAGAAGAAAACAAACAATAATGGCATTTTGACAGACATAACTTGAGACACATTGGTAACTTCCACTTTCATTAGAAGATAATGACAAATGATATGAATAGCAAATGTATAAACATTACCATTTTGCCGCGTCGTTTTTTCATTGTTCACTGACGCGTGGGAGACTTCGTGGGCTCCACGGAACCAGCGTAACGTCGCGGGAGGGCGGCTATTTATAGAAACACACGTCAAATTGACGAATGCATTCCGCTGGAAAGGCACAGGTACGTCCCAGTGAACGGACATGTTTGTCATTGGAACTGCAAAAAAAAAAAAAAATGTTCCATACTATTTATCCAGGAAGTTTAAATTTCATTTTCGTAGGAATTTTTTCTAATTAAGATGGCGTCTATCAGAATCTTTGGTGAAGAAGCATGGTAATTGTTCGTTTTCTTAACATTTTATTACAAGGACCAGGGTCAGCAGACAAGAAAACGTGGAAATTCTCATCCACATATATATGTAGAACCCTTATTGCCTAAATTTAACTAACATTAATGTTCATTATATTAATTGTATTCAACCGTTTAAAGATAGACCGTGATTTTCATACAAAGGACAATTCGTGCAATTTTTCAAAGTATGGATATTAAGGTTTAAGACGTTCGATTCTGTTGCAAGAACATATCGTTAGATGTCTTACATAAGATCTGCCTTACATGGTCTTACATAAGATCTGTTTGGTAACGCCATGCGTCTTTTTGGAGGATTACTAGAGTTTTGATGGTGCCAGAAGATGCATGTAGACCCATTTGTAATCGTCGTTATTGCAAATCCTAAGTCTCTAATAAAGTTTACAAGACTCAGTTTTCTAATCATGTGAACAAAAAAGTATAAATGTATGGGACTTGTGTCTACTTTCATAATCCATTCAAAACGAATTTTGTTCTCTTTATACTTTATTAAATCTAATTTGAAACAAATCAATATCAAGAATTTTAGCAAAAAACCGAAAGCTTTGAAAAATGCAGAAATAACGATTGGTTAAAAGATTTTTAAGAAGACAAAGTAGTTGGGTGATTTTCTGTTACAAGGGGTATATGTGCACTATTATTTGTGTAAATTGTTTAACAGTATTCACACTGAAAATGTTTTAAATTTCATTGTCTGTAATATTGTTGTCTACAGAGTTTCTAAGTATTCAAAATTTTGATAAGCTGTCATTCCTTTTTTCCCACATGATGTAATATACCAAATAACTATGGCAATAAACGTTAACTTTATTCAATTATCTGTTACCGTAAGTAATATTATTTCATCCTTTTGGGATACGGAATTTTTAGAACGTTAATGAAATTTAAGCAGTAATATAAAAATATTCGATATCATATAAATATAGCCCTTTGATGAGGTCGATCCATAGATATATCGACTTCACAGAAAAAGCATATCGACCAAGCACGAAGTGCGAGGTCGATATTCTTTTCTGTGAAGTCGATATATCTATGGATTGACCGAATTAAAGGGCTACATTTGTTATATTATTTTTTACATAGATTGACAAAACAAAATTTGAAAATAATGGGAACAAGGCAGGAGTCTTTTCTCTTTAACGCTTAGAGACTAGAGATCAAAATAAAATAAGCTATTTAATGTTCATGTGTTTCCTTTATATTGATGGAGTAATTTAGAGGATTTGCTTATTCAAAATACTTAATTTATTTGATTACGTTTTGTATAAATTTTTGACAAAGTTATCCAATATGTTTTGATATAAAGTAGATCCTAATTCAAGGCTTCAAGGCATTGTTACGTCTCATCAATTAAGGAACATGAAAAAATAATAATAGAAGTTGTAGTAAATATTTTTTTTCCAGATACATCAAGTCATACTTGATGAGTTGATAAGTACTATTTTTTTGTTTTACCAAAAAAAAAAATTATCTCCATTTTAAGAAACATTAAGTCGATATGCATTTCAGATTCTAAAAATAGTAACTCAAGTCTTTATGCTGTTATATACTAAATCATGTGATCAAATTTGAGCCAATCAGAGAGCTTGGAATAAATGATAAAAATAATATTGCTATCTATTTCGCGCACCTGCTATCTGTAAGGCCACTGTCAGACGTTGTTCTCCTGTATCACACTCATAAAGTCCCTCGTCCTGGAACCCAACTCTTTTGATCATTAAATTATATTGATCCACCACTTCGTATTTCTCCTTGTGAGTCGTTTTGTTGTTTAATGTCAGTATATTCGATCCCCAGTCAATCTGATTAAAACAACAAACTGAAGTCAAATTCATGAAAAAATTTTCAGGATCAATGTGTTACCCAATGTTATGAAGCACACATGTATAATTTTTGTTCTCAAAACACGTACTTAAAACAAAATTCAAAGAAAATAAAATGTATTCTTTTAAATTGATATTGATTAGTTGCTTGTTGACATCTAAAAATCCTATCTAAATGAAATCACACTAAATGAAACATAGGGAGATAACTAACAGTATTCAAGCTCAGAAGTCCGAAGTCCGTAAAACAATACAAAATAGGAGCAGAGCAAACACGGACCTACAAAACATCAGAGGTGCATGGGATCAGGTGCCATGGAGAAGTGAGCATCCCCTGCTGACCGGTTATACCCGCAGTGTGCTCCTTGTCATGATCGGGAAATAACGGGAAATATGTCGTCAATTTGGTGTGTAAATATTGGACTAACAATAAGTATGACAACAATTGTTTTAATACATATCATTTACCTTTTTCCACAAAACAATACTCCCCTCCGTTTGATACTTAATGGTACATAAAAGTGTGGCATCGTTTCCGAGTAACACAGTAGTGTTCGATGAGAACTCACTGACAAGTGTTTCCAATGTGGGATCTGTAATACAAATATAAAGATAACATCAATAGTATTAAAGGCTTTTAACAATTTCAGCCTCTTGAGGTGTGCTGGAGAATGATAAGAAGAGCTAGTTTGTGTCTGTATAAATCGTTAAAAATACATGTACATCATTTGTCCATTTTTAGCTGGCTCTATGTTTTCATCCGGTTTCAATAACCTTAATGAAATCTGTTTACCGTTGTTTCCTTTCATTTTGTTTTTGTTTTGATTTATTGTTGCCTATGTCACTATTAAAAGTCATTCCATCAATTTTTGGTACAAACCAAATTTCTGGAAAGAAATTCGTTTGTGTAATGAAATGATCTTTAAAATCAATTCTGTTTTTCATCCATTGAATTTTTTCTACAAGATGAAGATATTTAATTTTGTTTCACTTTTTGCGCATGGCATTTGTAAAAAATATAATAATAATAAAAAGTTTTAATTTATAAGCACGCCAACATATATCTTTAAAAAGTATTTTCCGTGGTTGGAAATTCGAAGATAACAAAGAGTAATCAAACAAAAAAAGTCTACTAAAACAATACAAATTTGTACAAAGTTAACACGGACCTCTAAAAACATCAGTTGATTTGAGTTCAGGTGCCATGGAGGAGAGGGCTTCCCCTATCGACCGGTCACACCCGCCGTGTGTTCCTTGTCTTGATCTCTTGATCGGGAGAACAGAAAAATCCGTACACAATACAATGTGAAAATTTGTATGAAAAACTTCAGTCAACATTTTCGTTCCTTGACGTCGCATCATATTTGCTGACACGGTCATTAAATCGACGATAGAGTTTGCGAAACGTTGGCTTAAAAAAAATCCAACTTATTTGCGATAGCGCTTGCATCATTTTAGAAATTGTTAATTCGCAGAGCATGTTCTTGCGTATCGAATCAACTGGAAAACCTGAACCCTAAATGCAAATAATTATGACATATTATTACATAAATATGGGAAGTTGGCGACGGAAATTATGTTTATAATAAAGTTTGATTTTTAGATTACCAATTTACTTATTTTTCTAGGAAAATAAATATGAAACAGATCTGTGATACTCTGTCGTCTCTTCTATACACTGAAAGAAAAACCTAGTGAATTCAACTAGTGTGTTTCGTAAAGCGTTGGTCGTGATTAGTAAACTTTCAGTTTACTGGTTAAGATTGTGAGTTGTGGAGCGGGGTCGTATAGATACTTAGATACCTAGTGAAAGTTACTCATCAATTCTAAATTTACTAATCTATCTAGTAAATATACCAATATCTGGTAAAACTACTATTAAGGTAGTGATTGTATGGACAGCGAATCTGCTAGTTTTCTTCGTGACATTAACTAGTTATTATTTTTTACAGTGTAGTTAAATCAAAAAGGTTTCCCGGTATATCGAATCAATTTACTGGTGAAAATTAATATTTTCAATTGATAAAACGTCGTCGAATTACTAGTATACTTAATGTTGAATTGAAGGCCGAGCAAAACACTTATTTATATTCTAGTATTGAAATAGTTGAAAGAGTTCCCCCTTCAGTTTTAGTAGCATGTTATGAAGAAATCTTAGAAAGTCAGGCATGTACCCAAGTTTTTTTCTCAAGTATCTCTCAAGTATCATTACTGGTTCAAGCAAGTACATTTTCGAGCTATATATAATTAAACGTTAAATGTAATTACGCCTGGAGAATAATTGGAAACAAATAAATGGCTGAGATTATTTCTGTTTTATCTTTAAAAAATTATTAGGTAAATGAGTACTTCAATGGTTTGATTTAATATAAAATGTTTTTGGGTTATCACTTTTTGGGTTATCACTTCTGCCAATTAATCAATTTTGATAAAATAATTTGCAATTAAATTATATGGTTTATTACAGTGATGCTTTGTTTGCTGATTTGGAAGTATTTTGTCTCTTTTCTTGATAACTGGAAAATTCGGTAAACGAGTTAATTTATAACATTATTTTGAGTGACTCATTTAAGTAATTTTTTATCATAAAATGCAAGTTTCTGTCTTAACTTATTGGTTAATCTATCTACGAGCTCAGTTTACTATATTCGTACTGAAAATAATTCGTGTTACTTGTTATTGCATTTATGTCCATGAAATCAGATATTCGTGTATAGGTAAAGGGATTCAGAAAGTGTGATAATATCCAGTTTTGTGAAATTTTAACCGAGATTTGTATTAAAATAATGAGGAATCAGGTGCATATATTTCAGTCTGTTTGATGCGGTTGTAAAGTGATAAGTGAACAAAGATTAAATGAAACACATGGAGATAGAAAACAGATCAAGCTCAATTAACCATTAAACAATACACATGTTGGGGTAGAGCAAACAGAGACCTCTAAAACATTAAACGTGAAATCGGGTGCCCTGAAGGAGTTAGTATAACCTGCCGACCAGTCACATCCACTTGTCGTGTTCTCTTTGTCCTGATAGGATGTGACTGATCGGCAGGGGATGCTCCATCCTCCGTGATACCTGATCCCACTTCTGATGTTTTAGAGATCTGCGTTTGATCTGCTCCAAAACTTGTATTGTTTAATGGACTCTTAGCTTGAAGACTGTTCGTTATCACCATTTATTTCATTTGATAGTTTTTATTCCTAGCTATCTTAATAAAATAATTTAAGCAAACCGAGCTTATACACATATTCGGTACGCAAGAGCATGCTCTACGTATGAACAATTTCTAAAATGAGGTAAATCATTGACGAACACGTTTATGAAACAAGAATTCCAGCAGACTCGTTTAAAGTCATCATTTTAAAAGTTGTATAGTCGATACAATGACCTTGTCAGCAAATTCAATTTATCGTTGAGTCAAATGCTGACTGACGTTTTTCATATTAATTGTTAATCCATTTGAATATTAATACACAGAATTGGCGACGGATTTTTCCCGTTATTTCCCGATCATGACAAGGAGCATACGGCGGGTGTGACCGGTGGCAGGGAATGCTTGCTCCTCCATGGCCTGTGATCCCACCTCTGATGTTTTGGAGGTCCGTGTTTGATCTGCTCTGATTTTGTATTGTTAAATGGACTTCTGATCTTCAGTATTGTTCGTTAACTCCATATGTTTCACATGTACATATAAATAAGTTTACAGACATATACTAGTATTAGATTATGAAATAAACATTTTTTTTTTCTTTATGAATTACACTTTTTTCTGATTATTGCAAAAAATTCAAAAATGTACATTCATAATTTTTCTTAGAACAATTAATTTATGCCCTTCTCTCTCCCGAAAAAACAAGTCACAATTGAAAAGTGCACTAACCTAGTGAAAGCACAATTAAACACATCCAATATACTGTCAGGCCCATGTCTGTTTAGTAAATATTCACCTTTTTAATGTTCCTGTATATGTATATTACATATTTAAATGGACACACCTATTGGGGTAACTAATTTACACGATTATTCCCCCACCTTCATTTTCTTCTGGCCTTCATAAAGCCAAAATTTACGCCAGACCAATTTTTTTCCTGTTCCTAGATGAATGAAGGTATTGTAATTAGATCTACAAGTTCATATTTACTAACATTCCCTCGTGGAATAATCAAACATTGGGGTGATAATCCCGGCTAATATCTAGACAATTTGCAAGATATTTATTTGAACTGGGATGTGTACACAAAATCGTTACAGCATGAGACACGAGAAATCCAATACTGGTATGACGAGAGAGCAATGTGAGCGTCGCCTATTTTTTCTGTCTAGGTTTATTTTAAAATATATTTGAAGTGCAGCTTCGATTTACTAACCATTTGTTGAAATTAATAACTCAGTAATTGTCTCCATTTTTCTAACCTTCATTTTAAATTGATAAATTAACGATCTTTTTTCACTTTAATGCCAGAAACTCAGTTAAAGTGGTGTTATATACTATACATTTGGGCGTGTCCATCCGGCAGTTCGACGTAAGTCATGCTTCCCTTACACATTATTTTCTCATGGGGTGGGTTGGGAGTGGGCTTTTGAGCCATGCAATGATCACAGCACTTCCAGTTTATTCAGTATATGTATAAAGGTCGAAGGGATGGTGCACCATTGAAACATGTCAAAAACTGAATTCTTTTTAGGGATTACCTGTAATCGAAGACCATATTTAACATCAATTATAGACCCATACTTTAAAAAAAATTATAGTTCTGATTTATTGTTTCTTTGGACTGTCTTTCTGTCACATTATCTTATTTTCTCAAATTTCTGATATATTATAACACAGTAGGCAAATCATCTTTTGAGGTATGATTGATCTGGTGTCTTGTAAATGTGCAGTATAATGTTTAGAAGTATTCATTTTCATCCTGGGACAATACTAGTATGGGGTTTCAAGAACTCATTTTACATGTCATCTTTTTAATATATTCGATCAGTGCATACTATTAGTGCAAGATATATTACTGTAGTCAGCGGCGACTCACATAAATTGTTCCGACGAAAATAGTTTCATCATTAATAAGTAGAAACAACATAATTGTTCATGATAAGAATAATATTGTGTATGTCATACGTAAAAGAAACCAAAATAAATGTTAATTTTTCCTCCAAAGATCACTTTCCCCCCTAAATGCAAATAAAAAATGTTAATATTCCTACGCTCGCTCCCTCCTCAGCTTTTTTTTTAACATGTTTGATAACAGAGAATATATAGGTCATTCTTCGGTTGATATTTTTTCACTGATGAATTGATTATACTAATATCAACAACTGTAGTAAAATCATGTTAATTATTCGTTAATTATCATATAGTTTCATCTAAGAGAAAAAAATAATCATTCTGAATGTGTAGTATATTAAATGACGGAATTTTCAATCCCTGAGCAGATTCCTGCACATGTGTAGACAAACTACACATCGGGAGAGTACCTGTAAAATGTGTAACAAAACCCGAACTGGCCGGGGATTTCTAAACTGACAGTCGTTTAATTTTTATGAATCAAAATTTCTATTCATGTGATCTAATTATGAAAAAAAGTTCTGTCTGCCATCGTAACTTCTCTGTTTGCTGGAGTCCGTTTGACATTACTCCATCGCACGTGTGTATAGACCAAGGCTAACTGGTCTTGCGGACATAGGTATGTGTACTGTTTGTTAGCATGGTTAGGAGACTGGGTGACCGTAATGCTACGGACTCACGAAATTTACACAAGTTCTATAACTAGACAGTGCAGTTTTATTTTTATAAATGTCATTAAACACTGTTAAACATATTACATCTAAAAGTCGAATATCTTTGGATATGGGGTAACCCATATCTATTCTTGTTAAATATAATTTGTAGTGTCCTGTAGATTTGCAATATGGTAATAAGGTTTTGGAATTAATTTCATTTTCTTCCTGAGGCGCAATTTTGAGTATTGGAGAATATAAATCATTTAATTACTAGTATTTACATAACCCCAGAATTTCAGTTTTAGAATAATAGTAGTATGCCAAGTTCCAATAGATTAATTGGTTATTGCTTAAAATGTACCAGAAGTTCCGAGAAATCGTTTTCTAACCCCTATTTTGATTCCATGAAGAAAATGAAAATTCCGAAACCTCGCTGATCATTTACTGGACACCACCAATCATATTCCAAAAAATGGTGTGGATAGTGTGCTTTTATAAAATAGGAGTTTGAAGAAGAGGAAGAAGATAATGTGACAGACGGTCGGATAAAAAAGGATAATGACAATTAATGTACCCCGATTTCTGTGGAAAGTGTGGAGGTTAGTTATTGACAAACAAGATTCTGAAACAAAAATATCAGCAGTCTCCTTTAAAGTCATTATTTTGTAAGTTCTTTGGCAGAAACAATGACCATGTCAGCAAATCATTAAGTCAAATGCTGACTGACGTTTTTCATACTTATTGTTAGCTTATTATATACACACTGAATTGTCGACGGATTTTTCCGTTATTTCCCCATCATAACATGGAGCACACGGCAGGTGTGACCGGACGGCAGAGGATGTTCACGCCTCCGTGGCACTTGATCCCACCTCTGATGTTTTTGAGGTCCGTGCTTGCTCTGCTCCAAATTTGTATTGTTTGATGGACTTTTGAGCTTGAATACTGTTCTTTATCTCCAAATATTTCATGAAGTATATGAAGTGTGCATCAGACGTTGGAGAGGCGCCTTTTCCACATTACAGTGTTCCGAGACAAAGGATGAATGATAAGTTATAGGAAAATAACTAATCTCTGTCAAGGATTTATTTGTTTAATCCCAATGTCTTTGTTCAGTATAAATAAAGAAAGTCTCAATTTCTTTTTCTTTGATTATAGAATGGGCTCGATGCCGTTGTGCCCAATCCTGGAATGACCACAGAATAATAAAACAACACATCAAAGGAAACCATTTGTCTTGTGCCATTTTGCGGAACTTTGTGGTGTGGAAGAATTTCTTTTTCAGGATGAAATGAAAAAAGATTTGTGTTCCCAAATGTCTGATGTTGCTTCCAATTATGACATCAGTAATGAAGGTACATGTATATATGGCTTGATTGACCCTGAAATCAAAAGAAAGCAAAGTTAACCATTTTCATTAATTAAATGAATCAGTTAAAGGAGAGTCATAAATGACACATTTATACATGTTATTTATTCCTCTAGATATTTTTGTCCCCTCACAATGCAAAAAACTGAGTGTTTTTTTTTTCTTACGAAAGCCCATGTAAGACTTTTCAAAAATCGGCGATCGCGATCGTTTTGCTGTGGAGTTGGTTGATTTTATTGTGAGCTGTTTTCGTGAGTGTTGCAGAATAACCTGAGGTCCAGTATTGCATGAGATGAAAAGACAATTGATTTGTGTTCTCTTGCACTGATAGAACAAGATTGTGTTTTGTGTTATAAAATGATAATTTATGTAAATAAAAGAACTAAAATACCATATAAATATATATATATTTTAAAAAAAATGCAATTTTCTCGGAATGCCCTATTTTTATCCTAAACTATATTTTTGAAATGGAAAATGTTTAAATGATGTTTTCATACATTCGCATAATTTCCTGAAAATATATCATATAGTTTAAAAATGCATATAATAAGCAAATTTTATTATGTTTTCCCTTATGGTCCCTTATAATATGATTATATCTAATTTCATTTTTAAACTTTGTGAATTCAGAGACATTTAACGGCTTGTGAGCGATGTGGCATATTGGCCTCTTGCTCGCCTTCGGTTGACTTCGAAACGAAAACAACACAAGTAAAAAAAAGTGTTTACTGGACTAGTGTATTGCATTGTGAAAATAATGTCATGAATAATTATTTCAATAGTGGTCGTTATTTCTATAGTGTTTGAAACACATGTGCTTGAGGACAGGACCCCCCCCTCCAATATAGACCCCCGGGCCTTTTAGACTTTTTTCACATAAACTGTATATAGATGACACATTTGTGATATAATCTATCCTACCAATTAAAAAAAAAATGCTTTTCTACCCCACTCTATATATAGAATGTAGATTGTTTCGGGTAAATTTTCGATTTGTTGGTACAACTCGGTTATAACGAAGTCACAGGGACCTACGAAATAACTTCGCTATATCCGTAATTCGTTATAACCATTTAAGAAATTCATTAAATTTATATAGCTGGGGATCCAAGATGACTTCGCTATATCCGTAAATTCGCTATATCCGTGTTCGTACTAAACGAGTTTTGCTGTATAGATCTTATCACAAATATGTTAATGAAAGATTATTTAAGAGAAAAAAGTCGAAAAGGCCCAGGCGTCTATATCGAACGGGGAGGGTCCTGTTCTCAAGCACCTGTAATTTAAGGTAGTCCGATCAGGATTTTAAAATTCGCGGTTAAGTAATCAAAAGTACTCATAAAAGTATCTCGGATTCCACAAACTTATGTAAATTCATAGGCGTCGGAACCGGGGGGGGGGGGGGGGGGGGCTTAGCCCCCACTTTTTTTTCAAATATATACTTGTATAGACATTAAACATATCTTCGTAGGTTTAGCCCCCCCCCCTTTCCACAGATACGTCTTAGTATAGGTTAAAAATGGGGAAAGTGGTGGTGTTTGGAAAAAAATTTTGGTACTGAAGCCCCCCCCCCACGAAATAGGGTTTTCGTGTTTGAGAAATGGACATTTCACTTTTTTTTTTTTTTTTTTTTTTTTTGCTTGTCAGGTTTTTTTGAAGGTACAAAAAAAATTTTTTTTTTACACTTAGCCCCCCACTTTCAATTTGCTTCCGACGCCAATGAAATTTATCTACAGTATTTCTTTAATTAAAGTTAAAGATTAAAGTTAATCCTATTATATCGGGAAAAATTGTCAAATCTCCAATATTTTTGCAGAAAAAGCGAATTGAAATATCGGCAATGTATTTTCTAATTGCAAATTGATCAACAAATATATTTTAGGTTAAAAAACGATAGGTATCCAGACATTCAGAGAAATTGTCATGATTTTTATACTTATTTGGTATTTTTTGTCTTCTATTTCCGTCATGTATTCTATAATACATAGTGTAAAAGGCTTTTGCTATCATTGCAAAACACCACAAATCACATGATATTTCATATCATGCTATTAAGCGTTAGAAAATCTTATTTCTCTAATGCTGTATTAATTATTTTTTCCGTTTATAGGGTATATATAAATTTCAACTTTTATAAGACCTTTTCTAAGACTTCCAAAAACTTTGAAAGATAAATAAAATGAAAATTGTTGCATAAAAAATTACATTTTCACGCTTCATTTTGATGCATTTCAAATTAAATATTAATTTCTGGAGTTATCCTTCCTGGATGAGGATCGGATATCCTTAAATCAGGGACATTCAACCGAAGTAAACTAGATTGAATTGTCTGGACGCTGTACCACCGGAAGTACACGTAGATGTAAATTCTATTTCTACGTAGAAGTAAACATTCTAGAAAAATAGCAGCTGTAAGTTTCGTCATTTATTTATTTTGTCATTTTAACGTGTATTTAAAGTGATATTTTCTATTCTGAACTCAACATCATAGTGTGGGACATTTACTTGACCATTAACTTTCGATTCTTGTCGTTGAAATTAAAACTGAAACCTTGTTTACACTTACAGCATCTGACAGCAAGAACTTAATAATACAGATTGCCGGTGGCCAGAAAAATTGAACAGTATAAGAAAATGAGGATCATTTTGTGTTTATTCTTCGTGCACATGTTCATTACTGTTGCACTGGGTAAGTTTACGGTTCATAAATTTAAACTATCAGGAAACATCTTTTATTGTCAGGACAAACATCCGATTATGTTGTTACTCATGTTCCTTTACAGGGGCATTTGGAAGTCATGGGGATAAAGTTCGGCTTACAGATATCCATACCCTTACCTTGAAAAGTGGAATGATGACCAATGCCAGGAGATCTGCGGCCGTCCCTCAGGTACAGGTTTTAAATGTTTCTTTTCATGATGCTGAAAATTTTACAGGTAAAATTTCTATCATTGATATTGTCCATATAAAGATTTGTTACAGTACTCATATTATATATGTAGGCAGTACATTGCAGTACATCAAAATTAGAAAGGGGTGCAAAGAATTTTTATTCATGTAAATTTAGTATACTTGTTACAAATCAGAGAGTTCACATTGTCAACATGGATGATAAATTGTAGTAGATAAAATTCTGGAAAATGTATGGAAGTTTTCCGTTATATGAATTATTCTATGGAGTGGAAGGTACATGAAATCTGTAATAGGTTTCTGGTGATTATTTGGTGTATATGGACAATGTGTAACTTCTGTTACATGGTACATTATAAATAAAACTTATTAATACCAAAGTGACCATACAATTCTTAAACACAGTTTCAAAAGAAGTTGTGAACTCATAATTCTCTTCAATGACTTATAAACTAAAAGTTTTTTTTTTTTTTTTTACAGTTGAAGTGTATTGGAGGGACAGCTGGTTGTAATGCCTTCAAACCACAAGTTGTACAGTGTTATAACAGGGGGTCTGATGGTTATGATGTACAGGTATACAAGTCTCTTAATAATACTATGGGTAAATCCATAGCAGTGAAATATTTGAACATGCAGCATTGGTTAAATAATGTGAACATTTAAAATTCGATAAAATTCATGTAATGCTTCAGTTCATTATGAATTTGATAATAAATCTTGATGATGGAGAAATTAACAATTCGGGGAAAAGACACATGGGTAAACTATTTCAATTTTAATCTTTTGTGTTTAGCTTTTAGATAAAGTATCCATATTACAATAACTTCATTTTTTTATGTTGATTAGTGGGAGTGTAAAACTGACATGGACAATGCTTACCGCTTTGGTTCAGTGGATGTGACCTGTGAGGGATATGATTATCCAGATGACCCCTATGTTTTGAGAGGCTCCTGTGGGGTAGGATTTTTTTAATATAATTTTTTTATAGTATCAAATGTATTTGCTAGTTTAGTTTGTTGAAAAAATATAATTGTAAATGTAACAATATTTGAAGGAAAACCTTCTCAAGTATTGAGATTTTAAACGATTTGTGTTCTGATTTTAGTTGGAGTACACTATTGATCTCACAAAAGAAGGGTACCAACAGCAGCAGAGCGGGGGACACGATTACTATGGTGGTCAATCATACAGTAGCCCCTATACTGGTAGTCAGTCCTATGGGTAAGTTCATCATCCAGTCATTGAATATATTGATGGAACAGACTGTGACCTACTTGTGTAATTATGATATCATTAATACTAGCAAGAATTGAAATAAAAAAGAGTTTCTTGATATAATCTTTATTTTTAAATATTTGAATTTATTTTGATCTTGCACTTCAGGTATGGACGCAAAGTGGGGTCAATATTTAGTGACCTGTTAACACTTGGAGTGGCAGCTCTGATTATCTACGTTATATATAAGACATGTGTATCAGCTACAGCTGGCTATGGTGCCAATAATGGCTACAGACCCACAGGAAGTGGTTATCAACAACCACCTCCACCAGGCTTTAGAGACGAGTACACACAGCCAGGTACAAGAAACTTCAGTCATTTTCAATAGGGCACTGTTATACTACTGCCTGGGTGTTATTAATTTTGAAAAAGTGTTTTACCACTGGGAAGTAGTGCTATAAAAGGTGATTTTAAAGATTTTTTCCAAAGTTGCATATTCTTGCATAATGAGAACATAGATTTCCTGATTGAAGTGCTTACTATGGACTTGCCAATGGATATGTTTCATTATACAAGTCCATATTTTCCAAGTCTCCATTCAATATTTATGAAAGTTTTAGTTTTAAAACAGATTCTGAAAATTATGGTGATAGATACTAAATATGTTGGATTGAAATCGTACATGTATTCCAAAGTAATCAAGACAAGTCAAGAAATATTAAGACTTACTTTTGCAAATCAGTTGCTAAATTTTAATTTCTGGATTTAATAAGAATACCTTTTTACATTCACAAAGGATGTGGAACCACTTACGCCCCTGGCACAGGTGGTGCAGGAACTGGTGGAGGATTCTGGTCTGGAGCTTTCACGGGTGGCATCCTGGGATACATGCTTGGAAATAACAGGAATAATTACTATGCCCCTGGCTATGCCTCACCCTACACAACAGGCTGGGGGTGGAACAGGAGGGCCTCACCTGGCTGGTTCAGCTCTGGTTCTGGTTCGGGATTCAGCATGGGGGGAATGGGAGGAGGTTCCACTGGTACTCGTACAGCTTCAGGATTTGGAGGCACGAAAAGGAGATAGAAAACTGGACGCAGAGATGCAGGCACCGATGGATGTTTGATCGAGAGAGGAAATGATGATAGAATGTCTGTGATATGGAGATAATACGCACTGAATTTTCAGATTTATTTTGTTGTTTTTAAATGTTATATGTTTCTTTATATAAGTTTTTTATATGTTGTTTGTGGTGATTTTAGTGTATGGTTATTCTGAGAGCATGAAATGTGTGTTTCTGTTACATTTGTTTTAAGTCACCATTTTTAAAAATATTCTGTACTTGTATGATAGAATTGTATGGAAGATGTTGTATTTGGACTTTTTATTATTCATGTAAATCTGAGTTACAAGTATTTCATTAGTATTTTTTTTTTATCTCTTGTTGAAGAACAATCAACAAAGTTAATCTTATCCCTGTAGTTGTTTTGTTAGAGTATGTTTTTATTAATAAAATGTTCCTATGATGATGTCTTTACATAATGTATAAGTTACCTCTTATACTGTACCTTTTTTTTATAAAAAATAATTTCCGAGGTAGTGTTAAATCATATTTGAACTAGTTTACCTATCATTTGCAAATCTGATTTCTCAAGTAGTAAAGAAAAATACGCAGAGATCTTCTCAGCCTATATAGCATTAATATTTTATTTTAATTGTTATAACTTTTTCATTATGTTTAAACTGCCACAATAAAAAAGATGATTTTCCTTTCATCTTTTCTCTCTGTTATCTTTGGATGATAACTACATTCATCTGTGAAAAAAAAAAATCATGAAACAAGTTTACATGTACAAGCAGAACTACATCATGTACATGTATGTGTGCTTAGAAATTGGCAAAAGAATTGACACAAATTCACACCTACTTGAATCTGCACTAAAATAATTGAATGTTTCCCCCATATTAAATCAGAAGCTGTAAGGAAGATTTTATAAAGTGCACAGCCAAAACAGTTACTAACAAACGAAAAGTAAAAGAATCAAAAGGTATGACATTTGGGTAATGCAAAAAAAAAAGGGGGGGGGGTAATAATAAAGTTGTATATTTCATCATGGATGATATAATGAGTAATATAATTCATACTTATTCAGTTGGCATGATATTTTTAAAGTTATTTTGAAAAGCAACTTAGCAATATGCACAGGAGTTCGCAAACTGAGAGGTACGTGATTCGAGCCTTACGAATTATTTAATGTATGGGTTAATGTGTTCCGGTGCCCGCTAATTGAGTAAATTCGAGCTACGAAGCAAAAAATCTGTATGATTTACTTTCAATATGTGGGGAAAGTATTCGTGTGTTCTGTTATTGTTTTATTTTACTGTTACTGATGGCGATATTTCAGTGGTATGTTGAAGATTTTATTTTTTTTCAACAAGTAATTATTCAATCTTATTTCAGTGATTTTTAAAATTAACTGAATCAGCATCTAATTACACTGTATCAGTTGATCAGTTTATTAATCTGAGAAGTTGCTCGTAGAAGGCCTACATTCTATTGTGTAAATGCCAGAAATCTCAAAATAAATTTAAACAGAAGGAGATATTAAATTTAAGAATACCCAGTGATATGATTTGATGTATTTTTATCAGTTTATACAATTTTATCCTATAGCTAATTTTTCACCCAATATCCTCCTATGATCTGAGATGTGATTTAATGTACCATAGTGCAAGACTGTTATGCAAAACATTATTTTCAATTTCTTTAGATCTCAGCTGTACATGTATGTGATTTATCATGCAAAAGTCCATCAACTCTAGAATGTCAAAGTTTAAACTCAACAGCCAGAGGTCGATGTTGTGTAAAAGAAAGTGATTCATTGTCCCCAGCTTCTGTGACTGGGTGGGTAAAACGTTTTTTTTTCAAAATTGCGATTGCATATTTCCTATGATATTAAATTAAGAATCCCCTCTCCTCGGTTAGAAAAAATTATTCTGACTGATGGTTACTTGTTCAATATACCCATTAAAAAAAAATGTTGCTGTACCTGATGAAACGTATGCTGAGTGCATAAGGATACTGACTGTAAGTCAAGCCAGCTCATATGTTTCCAATTGACTAGTATATCTCTGCTTCAATCATTATCACTTGAAATTTCTAAATAAACTCATTATATTGTCAAGACATGTAATATTTAAACTTTAGTTCAGAGGAAAATGGAAGTTAGTCCATTTTCTAGAACACAGTCATTTGTTGTCCTTTTCATTAATTTAAGTGGAGTGAAATTGAAGTTCTCCATCCTCGAAGCTGGTGTTCTCTATTTAATATTCTTTCTCCATCCTCATCTCTATAAAATTGCTGAAAATTTAGGATGCTTTTAAATGGTTAAAAATTTATATATCGTTAAACACTAATATTAGAGATTTATTCAAATCACATGTACATGTAAATAATCCATTCTATTTTCCTTCACAGAATTGATTTAATAGACTGTGGCTTAACAAATATATCTGGACATTTTCATTCAATGAGGCATCTGTATGTATTGTAAGTATTGTTTGAGCATCAAACATCATATACATGTACCGTAAAACGAGAATATTTGGCGCACTACTAATTTTAGCACCTTTGGCGCAAGAGCCCCTTAAACGCTAAAATTTATTGTGCACTAACAGATTTCTAAATTTTATTTTGTGTGTGTGTGTGTTCCTAGCTTTCACATAAGTACATGTAAACCGGAACGCCCGATTACGTAATTAATGTCAAAGGGCCGTTGGATTTTATATACACACTAAGCACTTTACATGGTAGGATCGATCGAGAAATTTCTGCAAAATAATAATTCAGTTAAACTATTGTTAGTTGGTATCCGAGACTTATCATTAGCACCTTAAAAGTTTGGCCTTTAATGTACTGTATCATACTTATAGAAGTATTAGTTTGTAGACAATAATTCAGAGATGTATAATTATGTGAAATGTTTGCATAACTTGCTTTTCTAAGAGATTGATGAAAAAAAAAATGGTTTAACTGATTTTATTCCATTTTTAGATGCATATGTTTTATAATGAATTATAATATTTGTTTCTTGCACTGATGATAATAAACAAATTTTATTTTAGATACTTGCATAAGAACAACATCAGCCAAATCGATGTAGATGACTTTACCGGTGTTAATGCCTTAAAGAATTTGTAAGTACATGCATAATTTTTTTTCTCATAAAACTTTGCTTTTTTGATCAGTTTTGTGCATGTTGTTAGTCTCTTAGATCATAAGCTGAGTGAGCTTTTTATAAAGCAAATTTTCTAGCATCTCTAGTATTCTCTACTCACAAAACAAATTTCTATATACAATATAATTTATTTTGCTAAAGAAACATGCCGAACCTCTAACCAATTTTAATGTTGATGGTTAAAAAAAATAATTACATGTACTCTACTATGAATTGTTAAATTTAGCAACTTTAAGAATCCATTTCCTTCCTCATATCTTCTTGAAGACTGATATAAATGTTATCAAAAGGATGAAATGAAGTCTGTTTGTTGAAAGATATTTACTATTTTTAGGACATTACCTCCCAATTTGTCTTGTCCTGGTGGGCCATCGTTATGGAGTGCAGAGGAAACTCAACCAGATATGGTGGTTTGTTTAGAGGAACGCAGCACATGTAAAGTTTTCAATGGTAGGATAATTTTTCATAGAAATGGTAGTAAACATTCTTACAAAGCAGTGTTCATATCCTAATTTTATGGATGAGCCAGTTCATGTAAAATTGCCACACTGAATGTCCCAGTTTTGATTTGAAATAATCTCATGAAATCTTTTTCTCATAAAAATTTAAACTAGAAATTGTTCAGTAATGCATATATACTATCTTGATTCACAGATTAGTACACCTGGATTGTATTTTATGTGCAGTGATGTTTGCTGTGCAAGCACACATCTTTCAAATTCATTTTGCTTGCAAACAATCAGCTAATATTTTACATACTGTACTTGAAAAACAAAATCAAGTATATTTGGAAGTTACATGAAGTTTTTTTCATTAATTACAGTAAGTTGTCCCAATTCCAATAGCTATTGTTCTGATGTGGGCCCACAGATTACAGAGTGTCTCTGCAGACCAGGTTTCCATGGTTACAAGTGTTTAAGAAAGGTAAGTCTATAAATAACAAGTTGCAATATTAAAGGGGAAGTTACCCCAGCTCTTGAACACTTTGGTAAGCATCATCAAAAAATTTGAAAATATGAGTTACAATTTGGGGATGGGATATGGGAATTCTTATTTCCCTTTATCTTCCAATGTGAGGAATGTTTTTTTTTAATATATTTTTTTTTGCTTTACTAGTAAATACATGTATTGCTCTCTGTTTTACAATAATACCCATTTCTTTACATATTACATAAGTACAGAATTTTCTTTTCTTCACATTTCAGGATGATTTTCCAACAGCAACATTTTTAATAGGAATCTGTGTGAGTACCTTTGTAGTGTCTGCATTCTTATGGATTACACAAAGAAGGAAGGTGAAAACACATTAACAGGAGAGTGCTTATTTGGCTATATTAGATTGGTTCTATATATAGTGATTTATAACATAATTCTTGATTTGGGATCAAATGCTTTCTTCAATGCTGTGAAAAGGCAAAACTTAAATTTCTTAATCAGTTTGTGTTTCATAGTTTGTTTGTATGTTCTTTATATCATTTTTAATGCTTGCATGACAGAAATATGTGATAATTGTTTTTAGATACTGAGTTTAATTGAACTTGAAATTATTTTCAATTTTACTTATTGTACATGTATAAATCACAAGTTGTTTTTTTTTCTAGAACATTACTAAATGTATTTAAAATTTAAGCAAGGTTATTTTTAAGAGCTATCAAATATTACAGATCATGACCTACGAATATATTTAAGTAAATCGTATACCTTGTCAGCCAATGTCACAGGAACTGTTTATGGACAATCTATAGTCTCTTGACGGCGGACTTCATAATTGTTAGAAAATCTAGTCATAAGTGTATCACGTCTTGTTATGTCACTTTGCATCATTTGTCGTTCTGTCCTGTAGAGATTTCGGTGAAACTACACGTCATTGTATTGCAATATGGTGCCAAAGACAGTTCTGTTGTTGTTTTATTTTATTTTATTCTTTAATTTGTGTTAATCTTTAATCAAATGTTTATTTTACTTTAAGAAACAAGAAAACACGAAGGTTTGTTTCTGTACACTTTTATAATTAGCACCTATATAGTCAAATTATATATTATCATACTTAATATCACATGCAACATTTTCTTTTTTTTTAATTTGTTTTGTCTCATGTTTGAAAGTTTTAAATTTTGTGAATGTTCATCACTTTGTTACCCTATAAAGTTCAAATAGAATGTGTGTTATGTATTTTTTTATATATTCATTCTTTTATAGTTCCTAATAAACTATTTGCAATTTTTGTTCGTCCTTTTAAGTCTTTGAAATTGTTAGATTTCGTCATAATTGTATACTTCCAGTCAGGCTTTTAAAAAAATTGTCAGAGCTCTTTCCTTTTTTAAAAATGTGCGATTTAATGTTAACAAAATGAATTTTACCGTACGTGTGTTTGGATTGTAGACAAAATATTCCTCCTTGGCTTGCAGATATATGATAAATGGTCCATGTACTTGTTTCGTATACAGGGCACCCCTACTTATTTCACCAATATACAGACTGTAAAGGGGTGTGCTGGTTACAAAATATGTGGGATAGACATAAATTCATTTTTCAGTCCAACAAAATTGCAGGCCAGTAACTAAATACATGTATGTAAGGCGAAAAAAAAACCCCGCACAAATAACACTAAAATATGATCCCCAATGTGCAGGACAATTTCCGGATGTTAAGCGCTGGACAGCTATTCCACTTTGTCTGTTCTCTGTTCATGGGATAGATAAAACTTAGTTGAGAAATCAGACGGGTTGCTAGTTTCGACATTATTATTGAAATTTAAAAAAATATTTTATTAAACTTTTGATGATAATAAGGAGTTAGAATTCTTCTCTGGACATACGTTCCAAGGCCGAAAGGGACACACACCCCTCCTGATATGTTTTCAATTTCTTTTGGTGTTGGATCATGAGGAAATTTTTAAAACCCGGCAAAAATCTCTTGAAAAACTATGAACGCTTAACTCTCGATTTCTATGGAAAGCCAAAGGGTTCAAAATTCCAACTCTGTAATTCTTAAAATGTACACATGTAAACCTAAATTTGTAAATTGTAAATCTTAATTTCATAATCTGTCAATTCTTCTTTCACAATTTGTTAGTTGTAACTATCCATGGGTAATTTGACAAGTGTAAAATGTAAATGCAAGTGTGAAAATGCTTAAAACATTACGCATACGACGCGTACGTGCGCGTGTGAGAGTAAAATCGACGTAAAGTTGCCAAGCTCGCGGACCAAATTAGAGCAGAAAGTTTCTGTCAGTATTAGGGTAAAATCCCCTGTATTATTGTCTGCTGTATAAATATCGGTTTCAGTGATAATGCCTTGACGATAACAGCTAGAGGACATGGAGGAGGCATGATGAAGCCTTATCATGATGTGACGTTGTTACGTGCCAACGCCACCGTCATGCATAGTTGGTTGGAAACCTTTTAGTTACTCACTGACAACCGAAAAAAACTTTTTTTGGTTGAAAAGTTAAAAACAAATTGACAGCAACATGTTTTTGCCTTTTTATTCACTTATGCAATTCAATCACTATAGACCCAGTGTAACCTCCGTCAGCCATACCATGATTGCAAGAAATTTATAGTAACTGCTTATATGCAAAAACGATGTCCATAACTCTAATGCATCGTTTGGCACTACAAATTATGATTACAATATTATCACCATCAATATGCACGTGTTTTGGGTTACCGAGGTTTGCAAAATATGAAAGTACACAAATAATGATGACGTAGAAAAACTTGCGCACCATCTAGCGTTAAATCAGGTAATGTATGTTTTTTGCACGCCATCTAGCGTTAATTCAGTGAATAATCGTTGGTTTTGCATCGGAGTCTGTTGATTTTGCAAATGAGTCTGTTGATTTTGTTTTCAAAGTTGTCTGTTTTGTATTTCATTATGTTTATAAAATAATTTGTTAGTTTTGCATTAACGTCTTTTTGTAAGCTCTACTGGTCAGAGACCAGAAGAGCTTATACGATAGTAAGGTGTCCGTCGTCCGTCCGTCTGTCTGTCTGTTCCGTCTGTCTGTCAGTCTGTCCGTCTGTCTGTAAACAATTTTTCAAAACGCTACTCCTCCTACAGTTTTGGTCTGATTTTAATATAACTTGGCACACAATTAGACTACACTAAGATACATAAAATAGTGCATCGGTTTTTGATTTCGATGAACGGTGTTGCCATGGTTACTAAAAATAGAATTTTTCTGTGAAATTCTTTTAAAATGCTACTCCTCCTACAGTTTTGATTTGATTTCAATATAACTTAGCACACATGTAGACTACACTAAGATACATAAAATAGTGCATCGGTTTTTGATTTTGATGAACGGTGTTGCCGTGGTTACTAAAAATAGAATTTTCTGAAATTCCTTTATAACGCTACTCCTTCTACAGTTTTGGTCTGATTTCAGTATTACTTGGCACACAAGTAGACTACACTAAGATGCATAAAATAGTGCATCAGTTTTTGATTTTGATGAACGGTGTTGCCATGGTTACTAAAAATAGAATTTTCTGTGAAATTCCTTTAAAACGCTACTCCTTTTACAGTTTTGGTCTAATGGCTTCTTTTCTCATCCTTTGTTATAAGTACAGACCAGTAGAGCTACAGTCTCGACAGAGACTTCTGGTCTTTTTTACCCTTTCCGCCGCCCATAAATATTATAACTTTTCCCCGCAAGCACTTTATAGCGCGGTACAAGTTTCCCTAAAGTCTAGCATATTATGATCTAATATTTTAATAAAAAAAAAAATAACTTCTTAATTTATGAGATTTTAGCAAGTATAAAATAAAAGGAAATTGGCAATAAATTGAAGATAAATGTTTTTTCACTTTTTAAAGTGCGTGATTGCGGGGAAACGGTATATATGCGTGATTTTGCGTTAGAAATAGGAAATGGTATATGCGTTAAAATGCATGACTGCGGCGAAGGATGTTATATGAAGGGACCTGTACGGACAAATATCCTATATCTAAAATTGAGCTTTCCACATACTGTAGCCTAGGTACTTTGAAGGATTTCCTTTAATTACAGTGTTTGATTATAGTGTAGAAGTTTTCCCTTCTCTGTCTTAATTCCTTTGTTTTAGTACCATCAGACCAAAGAGAAAAGCATGCAACAATTTGTATTTTATGCTTCTTAACGTTTCTAAAGTTTTAGAAATGGCCGGGTCACGTATAGAAAGTTGACATGTGTATACTATAAAAGTAAAAAAAATAAATACAGTTTTAGAGTGTAACAATCACTAGTTTAAAAGCATACACGCTAAAACTTGCGCCAGTTTAAGTACGATTGGAAATTTATATATTTTGTTTACCAATAAAAGTTACGAAAATACTGTAAATTACACCATTAAAATCAATTATTCAAGAAATGAACAACGTTCTTTAGTGAACATGGCGTTATGAATAGCAATTGCTCTGCTGGCATATTCCATGATGCGTGATAAATCCATCACGTGAAGGAAGGTCGTTTGAGATACTACTCACTTTTGACGTGGATGACAAGCGTCTTACTCTTAATGATACTTATCTTTTAATGTAATTAGTATCAACCATCTACTCTGTACTGATAGGTTTGAGTTATTGAGAACACGTATTGAAAATCTGTTGATTTTTTTTCATTGTAAATAACATTTTTTACGATCATTTGAGTGAGTGTGCGTGTGTGTGTATGTTGGGAGTGTGTGTGTGTGTGTGTGTTAATGACCAACTACCGTACATGTACTTTCAGACCAAATTTTATTCGCACAATTAAACATTACCCAGACTTTACTACATTATAGTGTAACAAAATGTAAGTGAAGAAGGGGGATCTTTCAAAGAAAATTTTCAGCAAAATATTTGGGGAAAAGGAGACAGTCTCTGATACCACATGCATTAATAACATGTTTTTTTTTAGCTCCCTTGTAGCATTAACCGTCTTAAAACACGCAACATTCACTAAAATTGAAAATCATTTTTTGTTTTCTTATCAATCCTCTTCTTACACGCACTGCCACTGGAAATCTTGGATCCGTGCCTTAATACAAAAAATCAAAAGTAAAATTTTAAACATTTTATTTTAAGTCTGAATGTTGTATAAAAAGAAATTAAAAGAGTAGTCTTAAAACATTGGATTATCTGAGACATTTTAGGTAAGAACTTTTAAATTGTTTATTGTTTATCACGTGATCTTTGAATGCGTGCGTGGGTACACACTTCCCGCGTCATGCGCGTTGTGAAGACTATTCAAACACTGTTCATCAAACTTGTAACGGTTGGTGCAGAATTTAAGAGGACACAAGGGTAAGTTATTTTTTGTGTACGTATAAATGACCTTTTTACTGTAAATATTTTAAGTTTATCGAAGCAAGCAAAATATTCTCCATAAATTTCATTTATGTTCTCGGAGAGTGAGAGGCGACAAGTCATGAAGTCCACGGAGTATTTCACAATTTTCCTATCCCGTGCCGATAGTTATAAATCCTAGGAGATTTTAGGGATATTTACGACACATATGTAACGAGGACAAAGGATTTTACATTTTTTTTAAAAATCCTACATTGTTGCATATCAAAAGAAAGGGTTTTTAAAGACAAATTCAATGATGTATGTTTCTTTTGTCTAGGTTAAAAAATAAGGAAGTTATGGACATTTGAATTCATGACTAGCACGATTTTCATTCTGTCACCTGATAAAAAAGGAAGCGTCGACTGATATACATGGCCTAAAACTCAATCCCTGGACAAAAGATAGTCACAAACTTTCTCAAAATTATTTATTTCAGTACATTTAATACAATACAGTACATTACCGGTGATTTAGAAATATTGATGAAAATTACATCAATATTTCTAAATCACCAGCACTATAATCTTCTGAAAGTTTATAAGTGTAAATTGCAGGATCGAGGTCAAACTTAACGTTTGACCACTCTGGATAACCTGGAACCTGAAAAAAAGAAAAAAGTTTTGTAATAAATCTTGCTCAAATTATACATGTATTTAGTCAAACTGAATGAGAATGCAATGAGCGGTTGTATAATTTAATTTATTTCATGTAATTGTCATTTTGAAATAAAAATAATTGATAATTATCTCCCACATTTTAATTAGTACAAGTTGTTTTTATTGCATTCCAGGACTAAGGCACACACATCAAGCAAGCAAAGCATACAGATATACAGTGTATTACAAAGAGTTTTAGTGCATCTACACTAAGAATATTATTTTACAAGTTGCATGCATATATTAGAA